AATAATAATAATAATAATAATAATAATAATAATAATAATAAACACTCATAAATTACCAGAATTTCATTTCATAGTACTCCTGACCTGTTCCTCGTTTCCAGTTCCGTTCAGCCCAATGCCAATCTACTACGTCAAAGTATTTTGAAAGAAACTGAGCACGATTATTCTCGTAGTCCACATAGTATGTGTGTTCCCAGACATCTACACAAAGTAATGGGATAATATCAGGGTTTGTGAGTGGACAACCTGCATTTTGTAGTGAAAGAATATCAAACCGCTCTGCCCGCTTATCATACACCCAATACACCCATCCACTACCAAATAATGAGACTCCTGCTTCTGTGAATAGTTTTTGAAAAACTTCTACAGACCCGTACTGTTCTTCTACAGCAGTCTTTAAATCAGGAGGAATGTTGCTACCATATGGTTGAATACATTTCCAGAAGAAGCAATGATTATAGTGTTGTGCCGCATTATTGTAAACACCCACAAGCATTGGATCTCCATTGCTGCGAACGATAATTTCATCCAAATTAGACCCATAAAGAGATGTTCCCTCAATTAATTGGTTTAACTTGTCAACATAGGAACGATGATGACGACCATAGTGTAGACGAATCTGATAGGATGAAAAAAGCGGCAAACAACCCTTATACCATGGGAACTCTAATGTAGGTAGAAAGAAAAATCCTTGTGTACGAATGTAGTTTTCTGCCCGACGAATATATTCATCTACACGCCAGTAGGTATCACGATATTTATCCACATAATAATCCGGTGCACGTCCAGAGCGATTGCGAAATTCATTATATTGATCCATAAAATCAAAGCGTCCCATTACAATATCAGACTTTGGTGTGTGCATCACAAGTCCACAGCGAATAGATGTTTGCAGAGCGTTTACTCCCACACACACTACCGCTGCGGAGGACACACATGTGGGAATAACAGATGTTGAGAAGGCAGATCTGCGCATTATTCTATCGGACGATGACAACAACCAAAGGAAGGAAGGAGAGAGAGAGAAAGAGAGAGTAAAGAGGATACTCAGTAGATCCCTCGTGCTCTATGTATTTTTTTTCTTTTTTTTTTTTTTTTTGTAAAGATAGAGAAATAAACATAACATTTAGAAGAAAAAGAAGAAACAAAGAGAAGAGAAAAAGAGTAAAAACAAGGCATTCGAGAAAAAAAAAAAAATGATACTCCCTATACACGAAGAGAAGGAAGCCATAACAAGAGAGGAATAAATATATAAGAAAGAAAGAAGGTATATATATATATAT